AACTCTCCTAGTTAGAACAGTAAACAATTTTCGCTCGACACGAAAATCCTCATGACAACTTCGAATTCAGCGTGCCTGTAAACGAGCAATTTTGTGTATTTTGTCTTCGACGATTTAACCAGATTTTCTACGTGTAGAGTGCATTGTCTCGGAATACAATGCCCTTCGCATGCAAGTTTAAGACTTAAAAGCTGTGATTCCGTTAAAAATTTACTATAATAGAGCAGTTCTTCACGCGTGGCCAATTGCGGATCGTGAGAAATTCGTTGGCTTTTCGACGAAAAGCCAGAGATGTGTGTAACGGAAATACGTCGGATTGTTGCTTTTTTTAATTGGGCGAGGGAAAATCGGCATTGTTTTGTAACGGTTTTTGCTTAATGAGAAGATGGCGGCGGTTTAATTTTGTTAACTATTTTTTTTTAATTCCAAGAAGTTAAAAGTTGTAGTGCGTGTATGTTCTGATAGACGCACAACTTGTTTTGAGGACAGCTTGACGGATTTCTAGTTTTGGTGAATAGATAATATCAGTATTGTGTTTGTAGCGTGGTCCTAAAAGAGGAGTTCGCATGGAAATAATAAAGATAAGAAACATAGCTTTCACATGCGGATATATATACTAAACTGGATGTTTCATCAACTGTTTACTATTTTTCTATGAATAATAACAAATTGGGGGTCATTTAGACGTCGGAGAGAAATTTACTGTTGATTTAAATATTACCCAGTATGTACCAAATTTTGATTTTCCGAAGGTTCCAAGTTCTTTCAACCTTCGCCAGTCAAAAAGTTATCAAGATAAAGAAATAATTATGTTTTAACGATTGTTTAAATGAAAGGAAAGTTTATAAGATAATGATATACATTATAGGGGTATTTCCTTAAGCAAAGTTTACTTTTCACGTATCAACACATATAACTTAATCTATGTATAGCTAAATGTAGCAAATTTTAATTTAATTTGTGTGCTTAATTTTGAACACACCGATTTTTTAAATATTCTTCGGAGTCGTTATTTATTGCATTGTGAGATGCTTGTTCGTTTCGTTTCGTTGTGGATTATTTTTTCACCGCCTTTCACTCATGTCAACTCGTCGGGCGGAAAATCTAAATGTTGTGTTAAACCGCTACTTAGCAATATTCAGTGAAACTATACTTACTTCGAGCAGCACTTATACCAATTATTACACTGATGCGTTGATTAACCATCATACCGTAGGTTTTTATAATAGAGAAAGTGCAAAATCGAAATCTCGGATAAAGTTTTCCTCTCTAATTAACAAGCAAGCAATGCTGAATTGTTACGTTATTAACGTAACGTTCGTGTTGGGCTCAAAAAATGTAAAAAGAAAACGAAGAGTAGAATACCAAAGTCCCTAGGAACAGAATATTCAAAGAATTTCTCTTCTCAAGGGCGTTCTAATAGGGACGGCGGCTAGGCGTTCGCATAAAGAAACTCTGGAGCAGGTTGCCGGAAGTCTCGATGGCGGAGTCCAGAAAACCCTCGAAGCGGCGTGCACGAACCATCCAGAGGAACGTACGGGTTTAAATAGAGGCCACGGGAACGAGTGATTCAGTCAACGAGTCGAGTCGAGTGAAGACAAAGTCCAATCAGGGTGCACCGAAATTATTTTGTGCATAATCGCTGTGTAATTAGTCGTGTAAATTTGAATGTACGAAAAATATCTAAAATGGTCATCGTTGGAGAAATGTGAGGTTTCTTACAAAAAAGAATATTTATATGCAACTTTTGAAGAAGAAGGCTTGCAAAAGATCTATGTAGGAAATGGCTGGTGTTTGGTTGCCGTGTCAAAAAGACTATATTTAGAACATTTTACCAACTTACTAAAAAATTGGTGTAAAGTTATTTTAACAAAACTTTCCTCGTTGCTGTAGCACAAGTAATAAAATAAGTACAATATTTTGCGTTAACTATAAAATTTGATTGTGCGAATTTTATTTGTTTTGTAACGACACCTGATGTAAAGTTATTTAAAAAGGGGTCAAAATTTTCAAAAACTAAACTCCAGACTCTCCGAGGTTTTTTCATATTATTAAAGAAAAAACATTACATTTTTTCAAACTCTTTAAAAAATAAAGCACCAGGGGTTGTGGAGGTATTTTTAAATTCTCTAACAAATAAAACATAATCGGCATAGTCGTTCAGATTCTTAAAAACAAAGACACTGTTTTAGGCGCCCTCAAGATTCTTTCAAAGACAAAATATCTCCTCGAGATTTTTTTAAATTCTTTCAAAAATAAAACACCAAGAAGCAACCCCTAGACCCTTGGTCTTTAAAAAAAAAATTTGCCCGACTGCAAATTTTTGTATTAAATTATGTAACGATAAACAAGTGTTGATACTTTTAAAAAAATCCGACAAAAAAAAAGTACTTTTAAAAAGTCGGAAATTGGTGAGATTCGCTGCGACGATCGAGCTGATTTCTACACTAACTGCGTTATGAGCCGATAATCTTGAAATGGCCGAATTGATTATCATCAAACAGAACTAAGAACTACCTCAGCTTTCAAGGAAAGAAAACGCATTGAAAATCGGTTAACGCATGTAGGAGCTACGATGCCACACACAGATACATAGACAGACAAACGCTTCAAAGTTGTAACACCCCTCCTTTTATGTCGGGGGTTAAAAATATAAATCTGGAGGCGACAGCGTACACACCGCCCTTGGTTGTGTCTTTATCTTGGCTTCTCATTAAACTTCATTTGTACCGCAGACTGACAACAGTTAATAAATAGGAATTGGTGCCCGGAGGAAAAAATCTAAAACACCTAGTACATATTTTGTAAAATTTGAATTCTTTGCTGAAGACAATTTCTATATGAACATTTTTATAGTTAATTATAATATTTAATAAGAGTATAATTTCAGTTACGCAGTATAAATTCCATTCCTTCACTTTGTATAAGTAGTTTTTTTTTTCTGAAATCGACATTGAAATCGCACTGCATTATACCATTATGTTGATAACATTGTACAACAATGTGGAATATTGTTTTTAAGTTTTGTTGCTTTGGAACACATTCGCAACATTGTGTGCAACCTTATCTAACATTCATCCAAACCGTATTTTCAAAATTGCATTACCGACCTCTTATACTTAAATAATGTTACTTAGTATTGATACAGCCTTGGTCACATACCTACGTGCAATTTTCTCGTATTTAAACGTTGATTGTATTCTCATTTATACATATACATTGACAAAACAAGCAAAATAAAGCGAAAGAAGTGAGAAACGCGAGCTTTTTATGATTTTTTTATTGTCTGTGAGATCGTCGTAACTGTCAACATTTCGTTTATGTTCACCACATCACGTCAAGATGACATCCCAAATCGTCCACAATGATCGGTATTTCACGCATTTTTTCCAACTCTGAGGTGTTAAGATATGCATTAAGTGGAAATATTCAGAAGAACCTGGTTTAAGATTATAACTACATATTGGAAAAGTAGCTATTAGAGAAAGCTCGAGTTTATTGTGTTTAATTTTTTTCAATAACAAGTTCAGAATAATTATTTGAACAAAAATTTCAAATAAGTAAATCTTGTTATAAATAAACTGTATGTTTTTTGTTACCAAAATACGAGTAATTATTTAATTTAGTGTTAAATTTTAGACACATATTTTTTCCAATTTATTTGATAGGTTTTACAAAACTAACGCTAGACAAACAAAATTTGCTACTTGTTCTTTTAGGACCATTAAAAAATTTAAGAATTGACTACTTAAAAAAAACAATAAAAATTGTTCCAAGTGTATACACAAAACTTGTTTTTAATGATAAATAATTAAATATAAAAAAAGAAAACGATTTATGGCGTGTTCAAGACGATTGAAAATAAAATTAACTGGAACTATGACGTTTTTGACTATTTTGATGCTTATGTCATTCTCAGCATCAAAAACACAGGAAATTAATAGACAATGCACACGATTAATAATGATAATAATTTATTTAATTTTATTTTCAAAAAATAGATAATATGAAATTATACGTCTTTATAATGTTGCTAAAGTTGTAGTTCGTAATTCAAGAAAGTCGAAATTACAACGCCAAAAGTGCCACATGTCGCAAAATAAAGCGCGGATTTAATTATATTCTCGGCCGTGTGTGGAACAAGGCGTGCATTTTTTACAGCAATCTATTAATTGTTGCCCAGATTACCATCACACCGCTCGTTTTTGTAACAGAGAAAGTACCAAAACCGAAATCCCGATCAAGTTTTTCCTTCTAATTAACAAGCAAACTATTACGAAGTCATAACCATAATTTAATCGAGAATTTAACGTAACGCTTCGTATACATTTCGTCACCCTTTTTCGTTTTTTTCCTGGCCGTTTCATTACGACGATGACTCCGCCGGTTTAATTATTTCCAAAGTTATACATTCGAATGGGTGTGTTGGTGAAAATGTCTGAACGCGAGGGTGTAGAATGTGTGTTTTAAACCCACGTCTTGCCTGTGTTTTACTTTATTACCATACCCAACCTGAAATCCATCGATCTCGGTTAAAGTTGGCAGCCGAAATCTCTCAGCTTTTGTTATCCTTGGAGATGTATTGATTATGTTAACAGGAATCATATTTTATTGATGATTTTTTAGTGGAACAGTTTTTCCTTAATTGCTACATTCGTTCGACGAAATGCAAAAACTGTACGCGTCACAGTCGGTCATCGATTTTCAGATTATCTGGAACATGTTAATTTTTCGAATTTTGCGGAATTTGGTGATTATTTTTTTCAAAGGTTAAGGGTTAATTTGTGTGTGTGCTCGCAGTTGGTAAATATTTAGAGTGCGTAATAGCGACGTGTTGAAAGTTTCTTGGAGGTATTGTTTAATAATTGGCTGAATTTAGTGTAGGCAGAACAAGATTTTTTGTGTGCACGGATATGGAAACTTGGAAACGTAACTGTGGCCGCACAAACAAAAATAACCATTATATAATGGCATGTAAATCAGTGTTTGTTTATTTACAGCATCAATAAAATCAACAGTTTGGTGGATTTCCAATTTTGCAAACGGTTGGAAGAGTTGTATATAAGGCAGAACGATATTAGGGATTTGAATGAAGTGGTCTTCTTGCAAAATTTACCGAATTTGAAGAACCTTTGGCTTGGGGAAAATCCTTGTGCCAACGTCGACGGGTAAGTAATGAAATGAGCGATAAAAAATGATTGCTTTGACTAAAAACAAACAAACGTAATATGCACCAAGTTTTCATGTGATTATGCTTTGCAGCGCCAATCTGGTTATTTCCTCCATTTCTAAACATTGGAAAAGTATTTTCATTTTAAATTTAAAATCAAAACTGGAAAATTTATTTATTTTTTTGACAAATTTTGTTATTATTAAAATTTCATGTTCTTTCGATGCAAAACGTTTCGATTCCAACACAGTGTTATTTTAAAACGTCGTGTAAATAAAAAATGACTTATTGATGGATCTGTGTGTTTTCCAGAATTGGATTTAAATATTAATTGTCTTGTTAGAAATGAGAGATCGTTTTTAAACTGAACTCCAATTTTCGATAACGTGCTTCGTAAACGTTTTGTAACAACCACGTATTATGTACACTGTACAGCTCCCGGCAGATTTAAATGAAATCAAATTAATTATCATAATTTTTACATAAATTTTGTTTCGGAACAAAAAATGTTGTTCGTTTAAAACTCGTCATTTTACTCTCAGCGTTGTGTCCAGTCCAATGTTCCGCGCCTCAAGGAGTATGACTCAGTTTTTATGCTTCATTATTTTGTAGTATTTTTTAATTATCTGAATTGTATCACTGTAAGGTCGTTTAACATGACACAATTCTAGATTTATATAACTTTTTTTTATATAAAATCAGAAAAGCCTTGCACTGATCACGTTTTCTGGGATTGGTATTTTTTATCATGGTTCAAAGTTTTCATTTATTAAAATATTTTCTTTAAATTGACAATATTTTTAAAATTTCAAATAAAGATTATCACAAAACAAATATCGCAAAATCTATAATTTTTCAAAGAAGCGGGATTTGTTGGACTTGTACTTCAAGAGCGATGGAAGTTCTGGCGAAATAAACTTTAACTAATTTTTTTCCTTTATTTCCCTGCTCTAAATTAGCCGGCTTTAATTTTTTTTTTAAACTTAAAGTTACTGTATTTCTCAATCATAATTAAACATTTGTTCCGGAAACTAACCCATCACTCGCTATAAATAAATACATCGTATTACTATACACTACTTTTAAACATCAGACCATTTACACCGAATATAAACTCAGACCTTCCCCAGATACCGTCTCGCTGTGATAAAAGCTCTACCGCAACTCCAGAAGCTCGACAACGTCCAAGTGACCCAAGAAGATCTCCGCGAAGCTCAACGCAAAGGTCGCACACTGACTCATCCGGACGATGCTCAGGAAAGCGAAGAAGAGTACGTTCAGCCGCCGCAACAACCGCAACAATACAACAAATACCAGGACTACTCTGAGTCCGAGTACAGTCCTGTGCAGAGGAGCCCGCCGAGACAGGAGGTGAGTGAATCGGTGTCGGTTTCCTCAGACATACATGTTGTTATCGTTTGCATTAACCAAATTAACAAAAATTATACATTCATTTAAATCAGCCCGACTATGAAATCGAAGAAAGCGAAGATCTTTATCCGCGTGAAGAAGTGTCGGAAGAAAGTAAAGACTACTCCCCGCCGAGACAGGTAATGGCATGATTCACATTAACATGGTACACGCTAAATGCTTGAGTTTGTGCTGAACGTTTACACACCTTAGATCGAAGGGGGTTGACCGCATTGGAACGTGAAGTTATTGGATTTTTGTAATTTGGATTTTTTTTCTATAATCCTTGACAAATATCTGTTTTAATCTTTATTTTAATGTAGACGACCTGATGCCAAGTTGTTTTGTGAATTATTACTAAGTTAAGGTTTTTGCCAACTCGTAAATTTTCCAGCTCGCAATAATGTTTACATACACAATGTATCAATCAATATCATTGATGTGTATTTAGTGTTATGAGATACATTCAAGATTTGCACAAATCAAAATAAACAATCCAAATAAAATTATAAACAAAATCCTAGGATAATAGTATGTAATGTCAATAGTAATACTTAGCATTAAAAAAGAAAAGAAAGAACATTCAGAAAAACGAAAAATGAACCCTGTAACACAAAAAGAAAAATATTGCAATTGACATGAAAGAAATTACACAAAATGTTATTTAGATAGTCTTTCAATGACTAAAATGCCATTTTTAACAAGAAACAATGGATTGTACTTGGATTTAACTTAATAAAGTTTTGTTAGTTAAGTTCCTTAAGTGATTTGGAATTGTCTAATAAAATTTAATACATTAATACTTTGCGCCATCTCTGGATTTTGTTAATTTTGAACTTTGTTCATTAAGGTTGTAAAATGTCAAAATGTCACAATGTTGACATGACTGGTAAAAAATTAATAGGGATTTAAAAAAATATGTCAGAATATAGTAAAAGTAACCTCAAAAGTACTTTGTTTGTTTTCTGTTGAGAAACCTTAAATGACCCTTCAATTACTGTTATTTAATTGATTAAAAGCATTTCTGATCATTATTTTTTGAAACAGATAAATATTTTAGTAGCATTAAAAACTATATTGGCAACACCAATCCGTTCCTTGTTCGGTTTGACACTTACGGTCAAGCAACAGTCAAATAAACTGTCAAGTATACCAACGTCATTATTTTAAAAATACTTTTCATGGCCTACTAGATGACTTTTTTTCGATCATATCGCACTGAAAGAGCAATAAAAAACACGATCAAAGCCAGGCATGCATTTAAGAAAGTTTGTCTTTGATCGTTGTATTTTCAACTCAATATTTCAAATTGAGAGTACTATGTTGTACAGTAATAAGATCGAGTTTTGCGGCAGGTAATGGGAGAAATAAGATTCGAAGCTATTTACGAAAAAAAAAGAAAAACAGCTTAAATTCGGCAGAATGTGTTATATATTCTTTTTATTTTGCCGTTTTTGATTCTTTATAACATAACCCTCTGTAACATTTTGGGATTTCTTTTCTTTTCTCTTATAACCCAATTGTTTTCTGCAATTTTAGCATTTTTGTTGTATTATAACATTTTTTTTATTATCATTTAGTATATTAAGCGTCCTTTAGAAGACCGAAGGATTCTCGCATTTTATTTAATTTAGAAAACAACTACTGCCTCTTCCAATGACACATAATTATTTTTAAAAGACACCTTTGGAGTATAATCTATAAAAACATAAAACATACAAAACTTATTTATTTATAACCATTGGACGTTCACTCGGGTCCGCGGTCATCTCCGCCCATTTAAGTGAGAATGGCTTTTTTTTTAGTTCGATCCAACAATTATCTACCTGCCTCTAAAAATATTTATTTTAGTGCTGGAAAACATTCAACTAATTTTGACTAATAAGGAAGCGAAATAAAAATTATTTTAATAATTGTTTACTTAAAACAATATTAGTATTTATGTAGTCACAAAAATGTTTCAAGTTGTGCAATGCTAAAAGCAGCAAGTTGTCATAAATTATAACATAAATTGTTCTATTTATTTATATGAGACACATTTTGCAAGGTCTTATCTACAAATGTACTGTTCATTATATTGCACAATTTTTTGCTAGATGAAGTTCTGCAGTTGTCAACTTCTTTATTTACTACACGTCTGGTTTCTGCCATTTAGCTAAAATTACGCAAATTGCAATCACTGCTCTTATCTGTTTGGACCGGAACTAAGGCGAGGGATTAAGGCACTCCCAGGTACCAATATAACGAGGTATGACTTTGAACTGGAGTTGATCACCTAATAAAAACTCGGCGTGGAAAAGTAATTGTTCTTACTATTCTTGTTACATGATTAGGTTCCACAGCTTTATTATACAATATGTATGAGCTAACACTCAGACCTACAACACATAAAGGAAGATTCATCTTTTTTAACATGCTTTAAAGTTCAGGTAACTGGGACTTCGTTGATCGTGATGTAGACGTAAACATAAGTTTACTTTTATAAATATTTTGAGTTATAATTACAACATGGCTTTCGCTAAAAGAAAAATCACTTTTAGTAGTAAACCTAAGACTACTAATAACAACTAGTTCACCTCAGAACTCAAATCTTTAAATACTTTTGGGCGTTGGGCCTATTGGTTGCGTCTTGCAAAATACATAAATGTAGTGCATTAAAAAACGGGAACTGTTGCGTTTTAAAAAGAGATATTATTATAACATGGCAATTAGACATACGAAATTCGAATGTAACGAGAAATGTTAGAAATTAAAAATAACTCTTGGTCTCTATGGCAACTCATCAATAAAGATAAACTTAAAAGATAAAAGAGTTGCAAATGGTTGTAGGGTGACTTCAAACGAATTAAATTGTTTTTTTCACGACAATTCCCAGCAGGATAATATCTAGTCTGCCTAAACCTAAATTCGATCGATTATTATCAGAGGGTATTTTGTTCTCCTGATGTGTCTATCTACTCCATAAATTGGAACTGATGTCGAATTACTCCATGTCAACTTCTTTACCGTGAGTTATCAGATAATACAATAATATGTACTTACTTTATGAACATGGCTAATTTTATGTTCGTATGCATTTCTGGAATTACTTTTAAATTGGATTATTGTAAATCCTGTGTAGCATAACACAAATAAACAATCTACTAAGTATCTATACTTTGGGATCACTGAAAAATATATATTTTTTATAAATTTTTAAACCTCACAATATATCAAACACTTTTCAGTGCATTGTGTTTTTCATAATTCCTAAGCAATAAGACTTTATATAAAAAATGAAAATGTATAACAATCCAACTTCGACCTCTCATTTCTCCGCGTAAACTGCTAGCTTTAGCGGTCAACCCCTTAATTTTAACAATGCCTCTGAGTTACGAATGTTTACTACGCAGCCAAGTCCACCGCGTAGAACAGAACCCGCTCGAAAAAGCTTCTCTCCGGAGCCCGTCTACGTAGAAAGGCGGAGAAACAGCTACGAAAGAGAATCTCCGAAACAGCAACAACCGCCGCAATATTATGACGTAAGTGACTTTGTAGAAGTTGGCCGATTTCTAATTATCTAACCGACTAAAATCTCGCCCAATTAGCAAAGGTGTCCAGGTGACCACGCATTCGAAGATAACATCCATCACTGTGATAGTAACTATAGGGACGTTAAAATCGTTAACAGTCAATCAGCTAACTGTATTAAGGTGGGTTATAGTTTAACTAGTAGATGGCGCTACGGAGTTGCGATTACGAATATTCAGAAAGGTAGTGTTATATTTTTGTGTGTGCAGTGTGTTTTGGCCACGCGAACGCTCGCACAGTTGCCGAAGTGAATTTGCACAACCTTCTTTAATACCTAGTAATTTTAGATGTAGTGCTCTCTGTTTTATTGGTAGTCGCATATACAATAATTCTATAACCATTGGTAATTTTAATTTTTTCGTATACTAATTTCTGTTTTATGTTGTTCTATTCTGAGTTTTTAAGTACTCACGAAGTGGATTTTTAACTGAAAATGCATTCATTCTCTTCCCACTCTCAACAAATACATCGTTTTCATTTGTTTGCTTGTGCTGTAGTTTCAGTGTATTAAAAAATTAGAAAATTTAAGATCGATCTCGATAGTTCTCATTTTCAAAGTTCGAGGGTGGGCACTGGAAAAAAGAAGTAAAGAATAATGTGACTAAATTTATATGCTTCGATCCATGTTTAATTTTTTTCAGTTTTCAGACTCGAAAAAGTTGAAAATAATTACGAACCTTAACTGATAAAAATTAAAATACAAACTATAAAAATTACGAAACCTACCTAATTTTGTAAAAAAAAAATATATTACTTTAGATAGAAACACTATCATGTCAAATGACTTTTATGAGGTTTTGTAATTGTATAATAATGCCTATTATTATTTTTCTAGTACCATAATATCAGTTATTAGAAATTATAGCAGTTATAAAAACAATACTTCTTGTTCTAAATACCAGTTACGGTGCATTAAAAGATAAATAAATAGTAATAATAATAATTTTTACGTGCCATTAAACCTATAAATGTATGTTTCATAGTCCACTATATACATTCCTCGATCTAAAAATAATAATCGAGATTGTATTCAGTTACTTACTTTGACACCTCTCCATGCTTTAAATCTAAATGGGTTTATTTAAGCAATAAAGCAAAAAGAATTTCTAATGATTGATATTATGTATAAGACCGGCAAATCTGATACACAGCAATAATAATTATTATTATCTATCTCTGTAAGTTAATTATCTATAAAAGTGTCAGAGTTTTTCAAATGCATTACCTCCGATTAGGGCATTTCAGCAGCTACGTTGTCATTTTTTAAAATTAGTTGAAGTTTAATACGTTAGGAAAATAACAACACTCTTGAATTAGTGTTAGCGCATTAAGTAATCATTCAGATGATTCGTGTAAGCGTTTTTACTGAGCAACCTTTATTCTTTTAATGGTATTTTGCATGTATATAGAGAAATGAAAATTCAGTTTAAACCACTTCATTTTTTAATCCAGTAGTCAGTAATAGTGTTAATTGTAGCGAAATTACATGATCTATTGGTCACCTTATGTGAACTCAGATTAAAGGACAGAGTACATAAAAATTTACGCTTTAATGTTAACAGTTTAAAAGATATTGGCATTTCACTTATTTAACTTATTCTTCATATAGTGATAGGAAAGTTACCAGATGTAGAATTATGTAGTTAGTATCACACCAACATAAACTAAAATATCACAGGAATACACAAACGGGGACCGTTACCTCCACGGCCAGCCTCAGTACCGAGAACCCGACGTGTCCTCGACTCACAGCCACGAAAGGCGCGAAAGGTACGTTTGCCCCGCCGCTCACCGAGCGCCATTTACTAGGAGACCAGTCACCAGGGTAAGTTCCACCCCGAACCTATCACAGCCTAGTGTTAACGAAAAATTGCGTAGAACTCGAACATACTGTCGGCCGTCTTGCGCTTAGTCAAAGAACTGGATTACCCCAGTCTCGAAGTTGTCGAAATGGAGGTTAGGTCGCGCATGGATGAACTGGATGAATGACATAAGGAAGCGTCGTCCACCCAAGACGAACCACCGCAAGACACCACCGACTAAACATGACTTAAGAGATGTACTCAACACGGACAATAGAGGTTAGTTGCGCTGCTGTTGTAAGTTAGGGAACGATGTTACCGATAGTACTTAATGCAAGGTGCGCACACACATCGGACAATAGCCAGCTTGATTTTTTTCCGAAAATAATGGGCCACGTTCTGTGATAGGACACTCATTGTATTTTTAAGAATTACGCAGTGTTTCGGTAAGTTGAAAATTGTATGTAAATATATCACTGTTCTTTTGTTATTGTTTGATGTGAGTTACTTAAGGCAGCTATGGTTTAAGTCGTTATTTAAGACACCCACAAGTCTGAATTTCTCATCTACGAGCATTACTAAGCGCATGTACATAACTGCCACCGTAGGACAATTGTAACATCAAGTTTTTGATATAATTTTTTAATAAAACGAGCGAGTTATTAATTATTAGGAGATTTAATGGTATTAACAATTCATGTTTTGTTGGACCAGTCAATGTGAGTAGTTGGCATTGGGATGTGTACTCACTTGTTGAAGTTTGCAAGTTCAATCGTTTCATTCCCTCCATTTTAGACTGCTACTTGTTATTGTTTAATGTTATATTTTATACTGTTAATCTAGTCTTTAGTTGTAACTTTTTCTTAATTCGCCCTTTGTAACATGTATTTGAATAAGTGCAATTTCTTTTATGAAGTGTAAGTATCAAAATAAAGCAATTAATATGATGAACTATACGTGTGATTTGTGATAATTCAACGTGTACCAAAAAATGAAAGTTTTAACCTTGAGTGAGTATTAGAAAAATAATTCTGTGCAAAAACCACGAAGAAAAAGTGCCTCTGGAGGAGAAGAACGACGGAGCTATCAGACATTACCAATATTAATAATAATTGTGAAAATTCGAATTAGAAACTGAGTTATCGTGACATGAGAAGGTTTATTTAATTATTTGTTATATGGAGAAAATGTGTCGCAGTCGTCTTAATAGGAACTTTTGATTTTCTAAAACCGTCCGAGTCGATGCATTATAGTCGATTTCTTGTAACGCCTGGTAATGCCCAGAGGGACTGCACTTGAGAAGTTGAGTTTTTCCAGCTTCGAAGTTGTAAATTTTCGTGTCTCTTGCGCAGTCTACAAATGGTTGGTGACTTTTAAAAATATGGAAGATTCCGTAGCATAGATCCTCGACTTTGTCTATAACTTTTTTCATTTTCTTTATGTCTGTCATTTATTTTTATTTTGTGCAGCTTCCATACGCTTATCGACCTCTTCAATCATTACTAAATTGCAAAGTGCACACTCTTCATTTTTGAGAAGATTTATTATTTTAGGACATACAATAAATTTTAACAATATACAAAAACAAACCTAGCTAAAGAAAAATGACGGAGAATCGTTACATTGTTCTACGTAGGAGGGATAAGCTGCGCAGACCTGGTCAGGCTTATCACCAAAATCCACAGGACCGTCGGATTTTTTGTAACCATCAGGATCAACACAGTACGTGTTTTGACCATTTCCCTGGTAAGACTGGTAATTCCCATTAGAACTACATTTCAGAAGTTGGGTCTTTCCATTGTCGGCAAAAATTTTCGTGTCTCTTGCACAATCTAAAATTTGATTACAAGCAATTTTTAAAACAACCGCAGTAAATGTAATACTCACTGCAATTTTGTTTAGCCGGATCTGGATCTCCAGAAGAGTATGAACCGATTTTTGTGTTGTCTCTCCAAGTACAGTAACCCCTTAAATGACATCGAGGGATTTTAATAGTAATATTGATTGATGAGGTTAGAAAATACTCACAGCCCATCAATAATTGCAAATACGCCGTATGAACCATCACCATCGCAAAGAAAAGTCCCAAAACTTGCAGTAGTTCCACGTAGCTTTAACTGGTGTTCTATGTTTTTCTGTGCGAAGAGTTTGTTTTCGCACTGACGGAGATATTGTGTGCCGACTTCAAGAGAGTTGTCTGCAAAGTTATGTCTGTGTTAATAATGTCGAAAAATTGTTTTAACTGTTCCAAGTATAAATACTACTCCTATAAGTTTCTTAAAACATATTTGTGTATACATTCTATATATATATAAAGTTGCTTTATTTGAACTTAAGCTAACTGACAATTTTTTGTTTTTTGATGATTCACAACTCCTACAATATGAAAAGTAAATCGCCAGCATCCAAAAAAAAATTCAGGTGCAAATAATGGACGATTTAATACATTTACATACTTAATATACAGATTCTTGTTCTTGAATCTTTCCAGCAAATAAATATAGGTACTGTTGGCAACAAATTTGACAATTAACGATTGATTTTTTTAACTTTAGTGACTGACGAGTAAATAAGAAATCTCATGACACCAATAGTACTTACAACAAGGTAACTTTGATACAGCTACTTGTGGCACAACTGGCGACGTCAGATCTCCCGTTTGTTCGTCGGCACACCAACACTGTTCACTCACAACATCACACTGTAGCGGTTCATAATTTCCCATACTGTTACAGTGCAAACTGTTGAAGAAGACATAATTTTCGGAGTCCTCAACTAACATTTCGGCTTTTCTTCTACTGCAGGCTGCAAAAGCAAATTTAATGTTTTATTTTGCGTACACTATATAATTCACCCCACCACAAGTCATATTTTCTGCTTGTGCCCACCACTGTTGTCCAAAAAGTCGATTTCCGTCTTCGTCGAAACAGAAACATCTATAAACAAAAGCAAATTAGGTAGTAGTTTTATCAGTTGTGAAAGTGAAATCTCACCTTCCAGTGGTTCTTTCTCCTTTGCATTGTATAGGCCCAAATTTTCCTTCTTTAGTACAGCTGGTCGGGTTGTAAACGAGTGGTTTATTGCATTGTGTGAAACCCGGCCTGAAGAACAGTTCACAATTACCTAAATCTAACAAAAACAAATTAACGTAAAATTATATGTGTCAGATATATGAATAGTTATAATATAATCCCGCGAAAATTGGTTCAAATGTATCGGTCGAAGCGAAAAATGAAACTTGTGTGGACTTTAGTAGTAATAATTAACTAACTATACGTCTTTGGTCATAAAATCACCAACAGAGCAACTGAGAACTTACCACTGACGTGCTCAAAGTAAAATACTCAACAATATATACAAATACCCTTTGAAGCAATTAAGGAGAACGAATTTTAAAGGGAACAAATACGAAGTAAGGGAAATATGTACAAAAATAACAGAAACAGACTGGAAGAACAAAGAATAATGTGAGGAATGATGATGGAGTATAGAAAAAAAGCAACTTTGAATTCAGGTTTTTATCACTCATCACTTTTGTGACGTGAAACTTTGGAGTAAAATTGAATTAATTGACAAAATACATATGTAGTTAAAAACAAAATGGAGAACAAAAGATAACTAATCTGAGGGAAAGTTAACAATAACTATTTTTAAAACTACTACTTTTACCATAACTTGTTTCCGCAACCTAAAACTTACCAGCATCGGCACCCCATGTGTTAGTACAACGCGGGAAACCAGTTTTTTCATCGGCCTGTATGTACCTAGCACTATTTTTGAAACAGCTTTCAGGCGTTAATTCTGAAACAATCTCCAAATTTCCGAAACTTGTTTGCGAACAAACACCAGTAAAGAGCCCCAAAATTAAAATATAAAAAATTTTCATTTTTGCTACCACTGATTGAAACACGATTTATTAGTGTTATCATAAACCTGATTTATACAAAATGATAAGATAAGTTTATCAATAAGAATTAATCATGGTTCTAAGATAATACGTCACATCCCTTCGGTGCGTATTTGTTCAGTTTTGCAGTGATAAAATTAAAAAATACAGAATAGTGGAAAAAATAATTTCCAATTACATTATCTTTGCGCAATGTATTGTGAATTTAGCAGATCAATTTCAAGTTTACTTAAATTTATAAAACGAGTTTAACACAAACTCACAATTTTATGTACAAGAATGACTCGATTATAAATTATTTTGATCACATAATATAATACATTATACAAAAAATAGATGTGCTTAAATTGATACTATATTATGTATTATACGAAGTATAATTAGAACAATCGTAACTACTGCCCACGTTATAATCTAAAGGAGATTTCCTGTAACCGTCTACATCCACACAATACGTGTTAGAACCTAACTTCTGAAATTCTTCATAATTTCCATTTCCCAAACATTTTTGTGTCATTGTTTTTCCAGCTAGAGCAAAATATCTTGTATCTCTTGCACAGTCTAAAATATTGTTGTTGTACTTTCATTTTAACGAAGATAAATCTTCACTTACTGCAGTTCACATCGGTATAGTTAGTACCCGATTGGTACGAATCAATGTTACTATTATCTCTCCACGTACAGTATGCTCTTCAAAAAGAAACAGAAAAATGGTCCGAACATTTCCGCACGGTTGGACGTCTGTGACTTTTGAGGTGAAAATTCAAAATTCCATGTTATCGTATAATCAAGTGCATCCATGTTGTTACACCGCATTGGGAGAAATAAGTTGCTCATGCGCACAACATTATGAAACTCTGAATTTTCCGTCAAATCAAATAGAACAAAGATACTTACGAACCACCGATTATAGCATACGCTCCAAAGCTGCCATCCTCATCACACAAAAAATCCTCATGATGTATTCTAGTACCACGTATACTGAACTTATACGCTATTTTATCCATAGCGTGTCTTTTATTTTCGCATTGTCGCAGATATTGTAACCCTACTCGCAGAGGATTGTCTACAAATAAATCATACAGTATAAAATTAAACCACATATGAAAACTTACAGCAAGGTAGCATCGACATGGCTTTTTCAGGCACAACCGTCGACTTTAAATCTCCTGTCTTTTCATCAGCGCACCAACACTGCCCACTGATGACGTCACACTGCAGTGGTTCATAGTTTCCATTACTGTCGCAATGCAAACTATTGAAGTAGAGTGAACCAGCCATATCCGCTTTCCTTCTACTACAAGCTATTTTTTTTTAAATAGTAACTTCCTTTACTCAGAAAAATACCACAAGTCATGTCATCCGCTCCAATCCACCACTCCTGTCCAAAAATGCGTCCACCGTCTGCGTCAAAGCAAAAGCACCTGAAACGACCCAAGTCAGTCAAGTCAACAACAACGATTTGAAGACGACCTTCCAGTTGTTCGCTCTCCTTTGCATTGCTTGGGGGCAAATCGACCATCTTCTGCGCATGCCGGTTTGTACACTAAGTCGAATTCTGAGTCGGGGCTGTGATATATGGCACAAACTCCTACAAAGTTGTTAAAAACTTTGGAAAATCTATCAGAATTGTATACCTGTGACGTCATTGAAGAGGCTACATCTGGGAAGACCATAAATCGGATCTGCCTTGATGTAGTTTAGATTTTGGTTAAAGCAGTGCTGGGGTTCTAAGTCTGACACGATAGCGTAATTTTCCGAGAGGGATTGACAGTCGTACTGGTAAATAACTGAGAAGAAGAGGATGATAGTGTAGATCGTCATTGTCACTTCGACAATTACTCTAAAGAAGTGTGGATAATGTGGGTATTAAGATATAGGTTTATCTGGAAAATTTATGGTTTTATTGCTTTTATGTTGTGGTTTACTTAATTGCTTTTCGGAGAATCGCTGATAAAGGCACTTTGATTTTGCTTTATTCAGAAGTGTTTCTGCAAATGACTGAATGGCTGTTAATACATAGAGTTGTAGTGTCCTGGTTTAAGTTAAAGGGCAGTATACGATAAGGTTCCAAATTCGGCCTGGCATTAATTATGGTTATATCTACACCTAATGAAGCAACTTGGCTCCGATGTTTAATTTAAACCAAAACATCTAAAATAAACTCAAATTCTACGATTTACATCAACAAAAAAGAAAAATATATCAAAAATTCATTGAAGTCTGTACCGGTTTCGTGAAACTCCAGCATTTAAATACTTGCATTTTCACAACATTTTCAAACATGGGACTGACTATGCTAAGATCATTTAGAACAACACATGACAAAAAATTAATAATCTAAAACCTTCCGTTTTGGAGATCCAGAAGGTGGGAACTCTGGAATAAGTCTTTCTGAAAGAAGTGACTGCATATTCGCAGCATGATTTATATTTGCACACATGTTGCTGAGACAAGTTGGAATAACACATGAAAAAATTGAGGATTAGCCCTCTCTTGTTTTTAGAGATCCAGAGGGTGGTAAATCTGGAATTTGTGTTCAGGTAAGGAATGACTGCATACTCGCAGCATCATAGATGTGTGCACACAAGTTGCTGAAACAATTTTGAATAACATATGAAAAAATTGAGGATTACCCCTCTCTTGTTTTATAGATCCAGAGGGTGGTAAACCTGGAATTGGTCTTCCTTTAAGCATGACTGCATACCCGTAGCATCGTAGAACTTTGCACACACGTTGTTGAGACAATTTGCAATAATATATTAAAAAATTAAGGATTAGCCCTTTCTTGTTTTGGAGATCCAGAGGATTGTATATCTGTAATTTGTTTTCTAGTAAGGAATGACTGCATAATTGTAGCATCATAGAATTTTGCACACACGTTGCTGAGACAATTTAGAATAACATATGAAAAAATTGAGGATTAGCCCTCTCTTGTTTTGGAGATCCAGAGCATTGTGTATCTGGAGTTAGTCTCCTTGTAAGGCACGACTGCATAATCGTAGCATCATAGAATTTTGCACACATGCTGAAGAGACAATTTAGAATAACATATGAAAAAATTGAGGATTAGCCCTCTCTTGTTTTGGAGATCCGGAGGGTGGTAAATCAGGAATTAGTCTCATTTTACGAATGACTGCATACTCGCAGCATCGTAGAACTTTGCACACACGTTGTTGAGACAATTTAGAATAACATATTAAAAAATTGAGGATTAGCCCTTTCTTGTTTTGGAGATCCAGAGGGTGGTAAATCTGGAATTTGTCTTCTTGTAAAGAATGACTGCATTATTGTAGCATCATAGAATTTTGCACACACGTTGCTAAGACAATTTAGAATAACATATTGAAAAATTGAGAATTAGCCCTCTCTTATTTTGGAGATCCAGAGGGTGGTATATCTGGAATCAGTCTCTTTTTAAGAATGACTGCATACTCGCAGCATCGTAAAACTTTGTACACACGTTGCTGACATAATTTAGAATAACATATTAAAAAATTGAGGATTAGCCCTCTCTTGTTTTGGAGATCCAGAGCATTGTATATCTGGAGTTAGTCTTTTTGTAAGGCACGACTGCATAATCGTAGCATCATAGAATTTTGCACACATGCTCACGGGACAATTTAGAATAACATATTAAAAAATTGGTCTAAAGAGTTTAGACAGTACTTCCCTCGCTGTCGGAAACTTGACGACTGCATGGCTATTGTGTTTTTTTCTCATTACATTTTTGTAGTGGGAATTTAAAAAAAATTGCGATGACGTCATCAACATTTTTGCAAGGACACGTATATCAGTTGGGATAGATGTAGTGTAATACTAAGAATAAAATTATTGTACTCCCAAATTTTCGGGAAAATGAATTGGGTCGTTTTGAATATTGATTTTTTATAATCAAGAAAATAACGAAACAATTTACTCATGTATACGGCAACTGAAAATCGTTTATGTATAAACATTCTTAATTTAAGATGACAAGCGTAACAGCATACGTGAGAGTCAAACAGAGAAACTGTAAACAAAACGACCATCGGTTTTATTGCTTCGACTTCCGCTTATTATATAAAACATTGGGTTTTATTTTAATTCTTGACGGTGAAATTCACAATTGGTTGATTATAAACATGTCTATTTCACATTCGCGGAACCAAGTGAACGCATAAAACAAATGCACGTCTGTAATGTTAAAGTCGATGTAAATAAGCGTGCTACCCTTATGTTTCAACCGAGTTTTTCCTTTAACAAATTTTGTGTCTACCAAATTGGGTTGGTTGGGGTGTAATACTAATAATGAGTGTTGCCTTTAATTTAATCAATAAAATAAATTGACTTCATTAATTTTTTTGAACCACCTCTTAAGAAAATCTAAAAAATATGAATGGAATGATAAATCACAAGTACAAACTCATCATATTTTTTGCATTTTAGATAGGATTTATTCAGCAAAATTTAAGGGTGACGTCATCACTTTTTTTAGGAGGGATGAACAAATACATTTTGAACAAAAGTTTACCATGCTTATAATAACTTTAAAATATTCCCAAGATTTCAAAGCATTCGGTTTTGTAATTCCTGATTAAATCGATAAAATAAATTCACGCCTTCATTAATTTTTTTGAGTCACCCTGCATATGCAAATCCAAAAATATGAATGGAATGATAAATCACAAGTACAGACTCATCATATTTTGTACATTTTAGATACGATTTATTCGGCAAACTTTTGAGCCGACGTCATCAGTTTTTTGTAGAAGATAACCAAATATATTTTGACTAAAAATTTATTATGCTCTTTATAACCTTAAAACATCTGCAAGATGTCAGAGCATTCCGTTTTGTAGTTCCTGATTAAATCAATAAAATATATTTACGCATTCATTAATTTTTTTGAGTCACTCTGTATATGCAAATCGAAAAAATATGAATGGAGTGATAAATGACAAGTACAGACTCATCATATTTTGTACATTTTAGATATGATTTATTCGGCAAACTTTCGAGCTGACGTCATCAAGTTTTTGGAGGGGATAAGCAAATATATTTTGACTAAACATTTATTATGCTCTTTATAACCTTAAAACATCTGCAAGATGTCAGAGCATTCCGTTTTGTAGTTCCTGATTAAATCAATAAAATATATTTACGCATTCATTAATTTTTTTGAGTCACTCTGTATATGCAAATCCAAAAAATATGAATGGAGTGATAAATGACAAGTACAGATTCATCATATTTTGTACATTTTAGATATGATTTATTCGGCAAACTTTCGAGCTGACGTCATCAAGTTTTTGGAGGGGATAAGCAAATATATTTTGACTAAACATTTATTATGCTCTTTATGACCTTAAAATATCTGCAAGATTTCAGAGCATTCGGTTTTGTAGTTCCTGATTAAATCAATAAAACATATTTACGCATTCATTAATTTTTTTGAGTCACCCTGTATATGCAAATCCAAAAAATATGAATGGAGTGATAAATTACAAGTATAGACTCATCATATTTTTACAGTTTGGATAGGATTTATTCGGCAAACTTTCGAGCTGACGTCATCAATTTTTTGGACGGGATAAGCAAATATATTTTGACTAAACATTTATTATGCTCTTTATAACCTTAAAACATCTGCAAGATTTCAAAGCATTCGGTTTTGTAGTTTCTGAGTAAATCAGTAAAATAAATTTACGCATTCATTAATTTTTTTGAGTCACCCTGTATATGCAAATCCAAAAAATATGAATGGAGTGATAGATCACAAGTACAGACTCATCATATTTTGTACATTTTAGATATGATTTATTCCACAAACTTTTGAGCTGACGTCATCAAGTTTTTGGAGGGGATAAGCAAATATTTTTTGACTAAAGATTTATGATGCTCTTTATAGCCTTAAAACATCTGCAACATTTCAAAGCATTCTGGTTAGTAGATTAAAAATTAAATTTCAAAATGTTGTTTTATAATTTTGATTTTTTTTCCAAAAATCTGGACGTTTCGGGTGAAAAGTCGATTCAGAGTTGTAAACTACATGTGTAGGACTATGTTATTTTATACAATTGAAAACCCATTTACTATGTACAATTTTGAAGTGACGTCATCGCATTAGTGGTGGGGATGATTAGACAAATTTTGGTTAGCGTTTTACCATCTACATGATATTCTTAATATAAGTACAAAATTTCACAACAATCGGTCGAGTACTTTCGGAGATTATCTGTCTAATAAAAATCCGGGACGGCAGACGGACGGACAGACGGACGGACAGACGGACAGACGGACAGACGGACAGACGGACAGACAGACGGAAATGGGAGACCTATTTCTTCGTCTTCTAGGGGTCATGAAAGATCGAGAAAACGTAAAAGTAGAGAGTCGGCCGACGGACTCGATTACAATACTTCCTTTGCTTACGCTCGGGAAGTAAAAATTGAGGATTAGCCCTCTCTTGTTTTGGAGATCCAGAGCATTGTATATCTGGAGTTAGTCTTCTTGTAAGGCACGACTGCATAATCATAGCATCATAGAATTTTGCACACATGCTGACGGGACAATTTAGAATAACATATGAAAAAATTGAGGATTAGCCCTCTCTTGTTTTGGAGATCCAGAGGGTGGTAAATCTGGAATTAGTCTCATTTTACGAATGACTGCATACTCGCAGCATCGTACAACTTTGTACACACGTTGTTGAGACAATTTAGAATAACTTATTAAAAAATTGAGGATTGGCCCTTTCTTGTTTTGGAGATCCAGAGGATTGTATGTCTGGAATTTGTGTTCTTGTAAGGAATGACTGCATACTCGCAGCATCATAGATGTTTGCACACATGTTGCTGA